GGGCGAGCAGATGTTCCACGTTATTGTTACCAAGATTTGGTGATGCTGCAGCATCAGACTTGGGCACTCAGAGCACCCAAGATGGGAAACAGTTAGCCCCACAATGAAGTTGTGCAGAATCTCTTTATTTGGTGTTTCTCATACATCCGTTGGGAATTCTAAACGCCCAAGACTTTTTCAGTGTAGGACCGTCACTTTTCTGCTTCCTGGCTTCTAGAGCAGATCTTGGTGGTTGTAGCAAATACTCCTGTTGGACCTCTTCTTCCTAGGTAAGGCAATCCAGGTCGAGGATCTTCAGTGTGATCTGTCGACCCACGGTCTGAACCTTCCCCATGCTTCCAAACACTTTGGTGACTTCAGAGGTGAATGCCTTCTTATTGGAGTCTCCTCCGATTTTGATCTCCCTTTCTTGTAGTCCTTTCACCCTGGACGTTCGGATTCACTTCCCTTCAAAGTTTGGCATACGTTGTTCCTGCTGCGGATCGGATCACCATTGTAGATCCACTCGTCGCTTTCTTCTTACTGTTTTGCTTAGGATTCGGTGCTACTGTCACCTTCGTAATCTTTTTGACAAGAGGTGCTTCCTCTTCTTCGCTTCAGTCCTCTCCGGACTGCGAGAGCATTTTCTTCGTTTTTACGCCTCTATGACTCCGTGCCAAAGCTGTCTCTCATGCATACGCTCTCTTTTCCTGTTCCTCTTCTCGGTTCACTTCCGCATAGCCTATAGCGCCACCAAGGTTGCTATCTCCATTATCTGCTAGGGCCTGCTTTGTCTTCACCTCACTGACAAGATCCTGAAGAGTCTTAAGTCCGTCCTTAATAATAATGTTGACATTCTTCTGGACTTCGCAAGAATTTACCATCTTAGATCCTCTGAAGACACTCAGCTTCCTCCTGCTTTAAACATTTCTCGCGTTCTTCTTCGATTGTCTCGTTGTCTAGGTCAGACGCATACCAGAGTATAAACGATACCAAGGGGATCCGGGGCCCGTAAAGATTGATCTTCATCCGTATCATTGGGTTCGACTCTTGGTGGCAGTGGTTAATAGCCCACATCGCTTGGGTTAGAGGCTGATGGAAGTGGACGATTCTTTGGGTGCTTTAGCGCACATCGGAGTTGTTACACTCTCTAGGTAACGACGTGTGACTTCTGGTGTCAACTCGGGAAGCGGTCTTCATAGTCCTTAGAGATTGGAAAGATCCCGGACCAAACTGAGAATCAGCAAGGTCCTTACCAGCCTTATGAAAATCGGTAGATGACCAGATCATCAGGTTCATCGACGTTGGCCGAGCGTATCTCGGCCTCGCAACCATAGGGTCCGTGTGGGTATACCTATAGAGGGATATCTTTTTCTCCTTACCTTACATCTTGATTTTTCGATGCCCTTTAGTGAAATATATATTTGATCTCTGATTTACTAAATTATTAGGTTAGAATTATATAGGCTTTAGGATCCAAATATAAATTGAAATAGATTATTTTTTGACTAGCAATTTTTATTTGGATCCTAAAGCCTATATAATTTCAACCTAATAATTTATTATTATTATCATTTTTTTAATATTTGTAGTTTTTTAATAATAATAAAAATAATAATAATTTTAATCGTTAACTATTTCAGATGGTAAAAAATATAAAGAATATTCGTTTTGTAATGAAAAATATCACCATTATAATTGGACAAACTGCTCATGTTTTTGCCAATTGTCTTTCCGGACAAATTCTATTGAATAACAGCACCTGTGTTATTAATTTCATGTAGATAGTAAATGCATATATATATATATATATATTATATTTATTTGTTTATTTATATAATTTATTTATTTTTATATATATGAAATTATTTTTACATATTATTTTATTTTGTAATGATAGTTAGAAATCGTCCGGTAAATATTTATAGTAAATATTATCGTAAGTCGATAAACAGGTTACCGACTGCGGAGCACTGCAACGTAGTACCCGATTTCGCCGCGCGGGCCGCATCGCTAAAAGTTCTCTCGCGTACGCTTAGCCCACCGAACGGCTATATAAGCTGCGCTCCCGCTGAGGACCGTCACTCTCGTGCTACACAGAGTCCAGGAGGGTCTTACCCACCTGACTAGGGGTTTTACCTCTAAGGAGCCATACTTCCGGAGTTTTACTCCGAATAACTTTCGTAGAGAGATTGACTCTCGTTCGACGGGTTTTACCCGTATAGTGTATAGTAACGAATTGTAAAGTAACGTATTACGATGTAAAGTAACGTAACAAAATGTATAGTAACGTAACGAAACGTTTTGTAACGTAATATTGTATTCATGTAGTTTAAAGTAGATTCTTCGTTTTATTACCAGTTTTATCTCCGTTTTTAGATATACTTAGAGTTTTACTCTTTGAATAATTGGAACACGAGTTTTACTCATGGTTCACGAAGACATCGCGGATTTTTAGACAGTATAGTAATAGATTTACGACTCATCGCAGCGAGTTGAAGCCGATTTCGTTAATGCGCGGCTAAAATAAGCGACGTTACCGAATTGACACCGATTTTCCATTCCGTGGCTCAACATAATTTGCAAAGACGTCGACAAATCACTACTCGAAACCGTCTTCCGCGATTTACTTGTTAATCTCCGTATAATATTGATTTTGTAAATACCGTTGTAAATAAATAATTTGTTATCAGTTTGTAATTAACCCTGTTATTGTTATTTTTTTTATTTTGAAATCAAAACAAACCCTGGCTCGGCGAGTTAAATATTGATTCTTTCAATTACAAACGTTACAATTTTATAATATTTTATTTATAATAATAATATATATATTATAGAAAAAAAATAAATAAAAATTCATTTATATTTAATTAAAAATTTTACCAACTCAATTTTTAGTTATGAAATCAATTGGTACGATATGCCAGTAAAAGTACAAAAAATGCTACTAATGATGATGAAGAGAAGTGTAAAAGAATCGAAACTAATGGTTGGAGTACTTGTCGATTTATCTATTGAAACTTATAGTACGGTAATAAAATTCAAGTTTAATTGAATTAATAATTTTAATTAATTTTAATATAATTTAATATTATTATTATTATTATTTTAGCTAATGAAAATGACATTCTCATATATGAGCGTATTAAATTCAATACAGTAAACAATAGTTATTGAGGTAAATACAAATTATTATGACCAATTATTATTTATTTTAAATAAAAAGGCGCACATGAAAATTATAATTTTACACCTACAGTAATTTATTTAAAATAAATAATTTGAGTTTTTTTTTCATAAAATGAGAATAAACAATTTTTCTTTCAGATATAATAGACAAATCCTGGAGATAATAGTCTTAGAAAGAAAAATAAATGTTTATGTAGTCATCAAGTTCTTTATAAAATGTTATATTATTATTGTTATGTTGTTATTTTTGTAATAGTTAGAAGTATATTATTTATATAAAAAGTATTGTTGAATCTTCGAATGGTTTAATTATTTAAAAATATATATATATAATATGTATATTTATAATAATATTGAGAAAATAACAAATTTAATTTAAAAAATGTTAGTAATTATAATTTTCTATTTTTTGTTTCAGGTAAGAATTTCCAAATATTTAAACTGTATTCGATGAAAACACACTGGTGAGTTTACAAAATATTTAAATAATAATTATAATAAAGATTAGGTAATTAAATAATTTTAATAAGCTTTTTGAATTTTTAATTATAAAAAATTCATTATATTATGTATTTATTTTCTTATTTATCAAGCTTATTAAAATATAAAATGAAAGAAAACTGTAGATTAAATTATTGATTTTGTTGTCACCGACTGTTGACAAAATCACTTTCTTCAATATCAACAGTCGGTAAAGTAGAAAAAACAAAATTTAAACTTTCTTCGAAATGCAAATAATTTTATTTAAAGTAGTGTTACTGACTGATGGTAAAATAAATTTCTTCATTATAAACAGTCGGTAAAACAGAAATAACGTAAAACTAAACTTTTTCGAAATTGCAGATAACATTTAAAAGAATATTCAAGTTTTTCATTATTTTTTTCTAACATTGCGTATGATAAACTACTTCGTAACATAAAATTAATAATTATATGTTTATTGTAATTCATTATTTTTTTTTTTTTTTTTCTTGCTTAGGGACTATTGGGAATCTGTATACAGATACCTTGGCTTCCGCATGTCAAGGTTATGTGGGGTTGGTAAAAAAAAAGAGAACACTAAACAAAATAAGCTGGCGAACTACTACCGACTGATGGTAAAGTAACTTTCTTTATTATCAACAGTCGGTAAAGCAGAAAAAATAAACATCTTGGAAATTTCAAACAATTTCATTTGAATGTAGATAATTTTCTCCGCTATTTTTTTCATCAGTGGGTATAAATATTTATTTCTGATTTATAATTATTAAAATCTTAACATTATAAATTATTTATTTATTAAAAAATGTTATAAAAATATTATTAATTTTTGAAAGATTCATTATTATCAAATAACTTTATTTAAAGAGTATTAAATATTTTTTTTGACTTTATTGTTACCGATAGTTGGTAAATTAAATTTCTTTATTATCAGCAGTCGGCATGTCAGAAAAAAATCAAAATTTTTAAGAATTAATTATTAAAAAATAGTTTTAAAAAATTATTAATAATTTTTTGTTTTAATTTATTTTTGCCACTTTACTGAATTTGTTTCTAATATTGTTAATATAAAAAAATTATTATTTTTCCTTTTCACATAATATCATCAAAATTTTGTAAAATTCAGTTGTTTTATGTTGAGTTTCTGTCTAGAGACTGATTTCACTTTTCTCTCAAAATGTTAAGAAGAAAGCAGTGCGCATGTCATGGCTATGTATATATATATATATATATATGAGTCTTTTTAAATAATTGAACATCAGTTATTACACTTTTCTCTCGCAATTATGTAATCAATATTTGTATTTCTTAAATTCTTGGTAAACTACTTCCATAATAAATGTAGACATTATATGAATATGGCTACTATAAGAAATTACCATGAATCCATAAATGAAACATAAATTCAAGTCTATATATGAGGTTTGAACTTATGTCACGAGATTGTGTAAAGATGAAAAATACGTTGTAGTTTATTCTCAGCAGCATATCAGCGAACATTTCTTTGACACTTGTATTTTTTTCTCTTCAAAGGAAAATCAATTTTTTTCCCCATATATATATTTATACAGAGATGGAAGTCAATTTTAAGACGACAAAAATTGTCATGTCATTAATGGGCTGTTGGCCATTTCAAAATCGTGCACTAAAAATTTTTATGAAATTTTTTAGTATCTTCTCTTTTGTATGCTTGCATATCGCTCAAGTATTTATTTATACGATTAATTGTTATTTTATTATTATTATTATTATTTTTAAAAAAATTTATTTGCAAAATTATTTAGAAATTTTTTTTTGTAAAATTTAGATTTGCGCTCTTTATACAGGACGTTATGATTTTGAATTAACCGTTAAACGAATACCATTAATTATCATGGGTTTTGTATATTATGTACATTTATTGTTTTTCATCATTCAAGGGCCAAAGGTATATGTGCAATATATTTATTTTACAGATTGTGTAAAATAACGTATATATTGTAAACATGGAAATTTTTTTTTTTTTTTTTTTAAGGTGTCATGTAAATATTTTTGTTTTCTTATTTAAGATAAATCATTTGTTAAGTGGTATTTCAAAAGATTTCAAAACATTGAAACCATTTCTTTCTGAAATGAAAATTTTAACCAGATCAACTGATGAAGGAAGATTTATTGTTGCAACATATGCACGTACTAAGTATACTTTTACAATACTTTTTTTTATACAAAGTTTATTTTTATGTAATTAAGTCATTTGAGTGATAATGTTTTTTACTTTTGTAACTATAAATTGTATTTTTAGGATTCTATTTTCGGTATTTTTTTATAAGTAACAATTTATTAATCAAACTTGTAATTTAAAAAAGATTCAATTTTTTTTTAAGATCTATCGGTAATGAAATTTTCTGCAATAGTATTTGAAAATCTAAAAAAACGAGTGTGGTTGTAAAAATGTTTCTAATTATTATCAGTCGATAATGCAGTTCACTATTTTACCATCTGTTGGCAATATAATTCTCTGTAATGGTATTTTAAAATGTAAAAAACTAGTGTGATTGTAAAATTGTTTCTAAGTAGGTAATTATTATCAATCGGTAATGCAGTTGACCGTTTTACCATCTATCGGTAATACAATTCTCTGTAATGGTTTTTTACATTTTAAAATACCATTACAGAGAATTGTATTACCGACAGATGGTAAAATAGTGAACTGCATTATCGACTGATAATAATTAAAAATTAGTGTGGTGTTAAAAAAGGTTTCCAAGTCATTATTTCCAGTCGGTAATACAGTTCACTGTTTTACTATCTGACGGTAATAAAATTCTCTGCAATAGTATTTGACAATCTTAAAAATCAGCGTGTTTGTAAAAATGTTTCTTCTAATTATTAATAGTCGATATTGCAGTCTACAGTTTTACCATCTGTCGGTAATACAATTCTCTGAAATGGTATTTTAAAATGTAAAAAACTAGTGTGGTTGTAAAAAAGGTTTCCAAGTCATTATTGGCAATCGGTAATGCAGTTCACTGTTTAACCATCAGTCGGTAATACAATTCTCTGTAATGGTATTTTACAATGTAAAAAATCAGCGTTATTGTAAAAAGTTTTCTAAGACATTATCGGCAGTCGGTAATGCAGTTTACTGTTTTACCATCTGTCGGTAATAAAATTCTATGCAATGGTATTTTACCCAAAAAAAAACAACATGGATGTTTAAAAAAAACAATATCACTCAAATTTTTCAATAAAAAAAAATTGTGAATTTTTTTTTCTCTCCAATAGAAACAATTCAATGTGGAATTTTCATAACGTAGGAAAAAAAAATGTTAATGCCTTTTTTATTCAGTTTATATTATGACCACTGCAATTGTATACAGTATAGCAGTAATTACTCCAGCAATTTGTAATATATTTTTAAATGAAAATAAAACAATGGAAACATATTATTTGTACGATGTAGATTACGTAGTAATTGATTGTAAAAATTATTATTTTCTAACAAATATTCATGGATTTATTGGTGGTAGTTTCTCAGTGGTTGGTGTAATAACTAGTGATATTATATTGTACACATTAATACAACACAGTTGTGGATTATTTCAAGTCTTAATGTAATTTCTTTTTTTATAATTATTATTTTGTTTCTATTATTATTTTTTATATTGACAATGTTGCTTTAATTCTTTTTTTTTCTAGGCATCGAATAAAAAATATTTCAAACATTATGAATAATGAAAATAAATGGAATATTAAGAGAAAAGATCAGATGTTTGAAAAAGTTGTGGATTGTCTTAATTTGTATGGACATGTACTTGAGTTAGTAAATATATTTTTTGATATTTAAGAAAGAAGTAAAACAATATTTTTTTTGTTATGTAAAAATCTAGCAAAAATTTAGATTTATGTATTTAATTACGATACAAGAATCTTAATAATAATATTTTTTTTTTTGAAAAGTTATTCACAAAAAATCAATGAATGCTTTTCGACTTTTCTGTTTTTTTCTACTGGAATAATAGTGGCACTTATGAGCTTTCAAGGTTTAATGGTAAGCGGTTTTTTATTTCATATTATTATTTATAAATTTTAAAAAAGGCGATTAACAATTTAAGAGATACTAATTTTTAACGTTGTCAATTTTTTATTAATTTTACAATTCACAGTTTTTTATTTATTTTTAAAATTTTATTAAATAAATTTTATATATTCGGTTTATTTAATCAAAAGAATATACATCCTTTCGGTTCAAATGCTGAAGCGTCAATGCGCTGTAGGCTAGCTCGGTCCGCTCCATTTATACTCGGCGTTTAGTAAGTGTGGTGGGGGGGGGGGGCGTACACTATTGGCTCGTCGCGCTCTCGGTGCAACAGTGCCGTAACTATAATTCTTTGTTACTGCGGCTAAAAAATTGCTTACGTGCGTGTATAATTGATACGTAATTTTTTTTTTGTTTTTTAATATTATTTTATAACATATTAAAAATAATTAATATTATTTACTATTAGTAATGAATACTATTTATTGTAATTAATATCATTTATTATTAATAATGAATTTTTTCAATTATACATTATTCTAGCAAAATATAAAATAATTAAAAATTAGTTAACATAAAAACTGTTTAGTGAGATTGATTTTATTTTATAATTTATTATCAGTTATGTTAATGAATTTTTGATAAATGTTTGACACTAAAAAAAAAAATTTGCTTTTTCAGTTGATAAAAAACATCAATAATATTGAGTTTGTTATGAAATTTTCTTCCATCGCTTTAGGTCAAACACTTCATCTTTTATCTAATTGTGTTCCTGGACAAAAGCTATTAGATTATAGCTCTAATATTTTTTATTGCATGTAATTATTTTCAACTTTAATTAATTAATTAATTAATAATATTATTATTATTTTATAATATTAGAATTATTATAATTAGTAATAATTACTGTTTATTTGGAATAAATTACTATTGTAATTTATATTAATTATAATTTTAACATTAGAAAATATTGATAAATAATATTTTTAAAAAATATGAAATTTTTAGATATGAAATTAATTGGTATGAAATGCCCATTAGTATACAAAAAATGTTATTATTAATGATGAACAGAAGTTTACGAGAATCAAAAATAATGGTTGGAACACTTGTTGTATTTTCTATTGAAACATATAGTTCGGTAATAATTAAAAAAAAAACTCTTAAAAATAAAAATAATGTGTAATAAATAAAAATTTTACTAATTTTGGAAATAAAAATTAAATTATAATAAATAAAAATTTTATTATTAAATGAAAATTACTATACTAAATTATTTTTTTTTTCATTATACTATTACAGCTTATGAAATTGACTTTCTCCTATTTAAGTGTTTTAAATTCCATGAAGTAGAGTCAAGGTAACTTACAATTATTATTATTATTATTATTAATAAATTATTGTTAAATACAAAATTTATTTAATGTATTACATTGTATAATATATAAATATTATTATATAAAATGTTGTTTAAATTTTGTCGTTTATTTATTATTTCCCAACATTTATAAAAAATTTTTAAAAATTAGAAAAATTAATAAAAAAAAAAATTATTAAATGAAGTTTTTGTTCTATTGTTTTTTTTTGACGATCTGATAAACTTTTAGAAATTGAAAAAAAAATTTCCTCATGATAATTGAATTTTTTTCGAAGAAAATCTATGCTTTTTTTATCTCTAGGAAGTCGCACAATGGAACAATAAAAAAAAGTGTAATAATGTCGATTGGTGCAGTGCAAATGTTCCGGAAATGTGATCCGGTTGTGCCTCATTACTAACTTTATTTCCCGTTGAGCGACTAATTACTCTCTCAACCCTTTCCGTCTCATTATTCTCCTCATTTTTTTTCTCTCTTTCTCTCTCTCTCTGTCCCTCTTTTCTATTTTTCTCTCGACCCCACTACACCCCCGCTTTTCTATATATATAGACGTCAAAAAATTTTCTCAAGCACTTTTATAAACCTTCCATCGTTTATGCTTCGTCTACCGTTTCACTATTTTTTTTTACCTCGCCCCTTTTTTTATTCAATGGTTTTCTTTTTGTAATTACATTTTTTTTTTACACAATTTAATGGCTTTGTTTTCACTTCTTTAAACACGTGTTCACAGGTAATGCGTATGTATTTGGTGCGTTACAATCAGCGAAGAATGAAATTTATTTTTCAATTCAATTATTCTTGACTGATATAATGAGGTTTTTTTTTAAAAAAAAAATATATATTTTGCAAATTTTATTACAAGTTATTAAAAACAAAAATATATCCAAAATAAAAAGTATAATTTTATTTTAAAAAAAATATATATATAGAAGAGTGGGGCATGACTAATTAATTAGGGTTTTGACTCTAAACGTTTTTACTTAGCTGATAAAACGAGTTTTTTTTAAACTACGTTGTTAATTTGCAAAAACTATCAAAAACTATCAAAAATTATTAAAAATTTGATTTTTTTCTACTATATTAACTTAATTTTAATGGAAAATAGTAATTTTTTTAAAAATAATTGATTTTTAAATATTTTTGTTGCCAAAATTGACTTTTTGAAAAATAAATAATTTTGGTTGTTGAAATAAACTTTTTTTCAAAAATTTGCAAAAACGATCGAAAATTATTGAAACTAGATTTTTTCTACTATTTTAATTTAAATTTATTTGGAAAATAATAATTTAAAAAAAAAAATGATTTTCAAAATTTTTCGTTGTCAAAATCGATTTTTTCAAAAATCATAAAACGATTAAAAATTATTGAAACTAGATTTTTCTTACTACAAAATCGATAAAAAAAAAATAATTAAAACTATATTTTTTCTACTACTTTAACATAATTTTAATATAGAATAAATAATACATGACTAATTTTTTTAGTCTAAAAGTTTTTGCCATTTTATTTTTATTTATTTATTAATTTTTTTTTTTTGAAAGAAAAAGTAATTTTTTAAAAGTACTTTGTGATTGATCAAGATTTCTCAAACCCAATTTTAGCAATCTGTTTAAAATTTACAAAAAAATGTTTTTGAAAAAAAAATTTTTTGATTATAAAAATTTCTGTTTTAATCAATTTAAATCTGTATTAAATATTTTAAAAAAATATTAATATATTAATTGAATAATAATTAAATATTCTTTAAAAATCAAACAAAATTATTTAGATAATAATAAATAATTTAATTAATAAATAATTTAGAAATATTTAACAAAAAAATTATTATTATTAAAATAAAACAAAAGTGCAAAAAAAAAAGATCCATTTCTTTTTCATCTAATGCAGGGTGTCTACTAGTCCTGGAAGTCCTGGAAATGTCCTGGAATTTGAAAAAATGTCCTGGAATGTCCTTAAAAGTCCTGGAATTTTAATTATTGTCCTTGAATTTTTTATATTTTGCTTTTAAATTTTCAAAAATTTCTAATTTTGTCAATCAAGTTAAAAAAAATTCATTAAATAAGTAAAATGAAAATTTACTTAAGTAATTAATTAACTTTTAATAATTTCTGAAAACAATAGTTAAACTAAAAATTTTTTTATTCCTTAAAGTCATCCAATTTAATGTCCTGGAAAAATAAGAAATTTGTCCTGGAAAAGTCCTGGAATTTTAATTCAGATTTTTAGTAGACACCCTGTAATGGCAATTTGAAAATTGAATCCAGTTTGAATTTGAATTTTTTTGCAATGATTGAAAATTAAATTCAACAATTTTGAGGTTAGAATTCACAAATTCATGTTAACGAATATAAGTTTCAATAGATTAATTAATTACACAGCCACACAAAAAAAGTGTCGGGTACCCTACCCCCATGTATTTTTTTAAAAAATTATATGATTTATATGAAACTTGGTATCTAGGGGTTTTTGAGGTCGCTGATTACGAATCTGAAGTCAGATTTTTAATATTCAAAATGGCGGATCCAATATGGCGGACGAATTTTTTAAAAATTCATTGAATTCTATTGAAACTTGTTACGTGGAGGTTTTTGAGTTCGCTGATTATGAATTTGAAGTCAGATTTTCAAACATGTAACAAGTTTCAATCAAATTTAACAAATGTTTAAAAATTCGTCAGCCATATTTGATCCGCCATTTTGAATTTTGAAAATCTGACTTCAGATTCGTAATAATTTGTTTTAATAAAAATAAAAGTGAAATTAAATATTTATTATTTTATAATTATATAATATATATATGTATATATATATATATATATATATATATATTAATATAATAGAAAATATAATTAGAGTATTAAATAATTTGTAAAATAATAAAATTATTATAAATATTTATTTAATTATAAAATTAAAATTAAATTAAAATTTTCAAACATTCGTATAATACTGTTATTTTTTAATAAATATTTGAATTCCGTTTCTTTTTGTCGCACCCCTTTTTTTTCTCTCTCTCACACTTGTAAATTGGTTGACCCCGCAGTTTCAGTTTGGTGACTTGATTCGGTGTCGCTTTACGGAAATTAAGTGGATAGCTCGATGAAAACACGTCAAATAACGAGGGTACAAATTGAATGTATAAACTCCCATAGGGGAAATGTTCTATATAGACGTCAGTCACTTCTCCTATATATATACATATATATACATATGTTTTACATCTCGATTTTTGCGTTCAGTCAGGCGGATGTAAACTTATACTGCAAATAATAATTATACGCGTTTATTTTTTTTCACACGTTTATTTTGAATTTTTATATATATAGAAAATAACGATATTTTTATAAACAAATAAATTTGTTTCACTCACAATTTTAGTTTTTTAATTTTTTTTTTTATTTTAACATACTTGGAAATTCTAAAAATTTTTTACAAAAAATTTTCGAGTTTTGTTTTTAAATAATAATTTTTTAAAAATTAATTTCATTTTTTTTGAAAGAAAAAATTTTTTTCGTCTATTTTTGTTTTTTTTCTGTTCTTTTTTTTTCCTTGAACATTATAATATGAAATAAATATAGAAGATGGTGAAAAAAAATCAAGGTTTTCTTTATAATAACTGACATAAGACGATCCAATAATATTCTTGAGTTGGTTAGTAATCCCCACCTTGGTCAACCCCTTTTTCCAGATTCTATAAATACATATATTGCGACCCAGTTTTCATAAAGGGGGGAAACAAGCAGACGCCATAAGCCAAATTTAACATTGTGATGCTTCTCATTTTTCATCATTTTTTTTTTCTTGTTGACTCAATAAAAAGCAAAAAATTCTAAAAAAAAAATTTGAATTTTCACAAAAAAATAGTAAAAAATAATTGAAATTAAAAGAAAAATATAAGTTAACTATAAAATTCCAAAAAAAATTGAAAATATTTGTAACTATTCAAAATATAAAATTTCTAAAAAAAAACATTTTTATTCCATTTTCTTTTGTTCTATAAAAAAGTTATTTAAAAATAAAAATAATATAAAAACATTACTGAAAAAAAAAATGTTTTAAAATTGTAAAATCACTAAAAAGTTTGTATTTACTTTATTGATAAATATTTTGATAAGAATTTATTGCCTTTGTTATCATTCATTGTTTATAATATCTAATCTCTCGAATGAATTTTAACCTACATTTTTTTATCATTGCTGTAAAAACTGACCTTTCTTCTTTTTAGATAAAAAAAAAATAATGTTCAAAAAAATTAGTTTTTCAAACTTTATATAATTTGAAAAAAAATCGTGAATTAAAAAAAAAGTTTTCCCTTTTAATGTATAATTAGCCAAACACAATAAAATTTATAACAAAGAGGTAAAAAAAAAAAATTTTTAACGAAAAATGAAAAATTTAAAAACAATAAATAAAAAAATATTTAATATTAATTAATAAAAAAAATTTTTTTTTATTTGTTTCAGGTAAGAATATAATCTTCTTTCACAAAAATATTTCCATATAAATGAAAGTTGACCAACAATAATGGTGAGTTTTGAATTTCATATATAAGATTCATAAATAATGAATTTTTGAGTCTTAATTTATTTTTTAATCAAGACATTATAAATTTAAAACTCATCGGAAAAAAAACTATATAATTTAGTAATCGTTTTCTTTCTTTTTTTTTCTTAAAAAAAAAATACCCTTTTCAACATTTACTCCACATGACGCGCGTTAAAACCCACACACAAAATGTAAATCAAGTGCGAGCAAAATGAAAATTTAATTTCTTAATTAATTTTCATTTCACAATATTGGAAATTCAAATGACCATGTGGAATTAATTTCCCTATATATAAATGTATATGTACGATATTTTATATATATATAAATAAACTCGAAACTGTCTGAATAAATTATAGAGGCGTTTTATTTCAGTATGGCGAGCACAATTTCCGCTCTTTAAAATGACATTATTATTAAAGAAAGCGACGTATTGGAAAATGTGTCTCTC